CAATCGAGGATGAATTCATCGGCCATCTTCCGAGGATCGACCGCTCTGATACCAATTGTTGTGACCCGAGATAGTTTGTAAATTCTTATAATGAATTTCTAATTTTTTGCATTTTCTGCAATAAAGAGATGAAGGAAGATGTTGAAGATGAATAAGAGAGAGAGTAGAAAGATCGAGAGAGAGTAGAGAGGGATACGAGAGATTGGAGAGAGAGAGAGAGAGAGTAAATTTGTTGCAACTGATTGATTCCCAAATACATGCCCTCACACTCTTATATATACTAGTCTCATTTTCTAAGGAATTACATTAACTAAAATAACATAAAATAAATAGATAGGGGGCTCTTAATAATTAAACCCGGATTGGGCCTTCTCTGGCCCGTCATCCATACGTCCACCCCTCGGTCCAACTCTATAATCAAGTACATGACAGCCCACTTATCGACCCAACTCCATAATCGGGTACATGACATTGTCATATCTCGTATTCATAATAAGCATTTATGACTAGCAAGATCCAAATGGATTTAAACATTGCAACTGGTGAAAAAGTTTTTCTCATAATCAACACCTTGTTTATGAGTATAACCTTTTGCAACCAGACACATTTTAAAGTATTCACTTCTCCTTCTACTCTAAGCTTCCACTTGTAAACCCATCTATAACCAGTAGGTACAATACCTTGTGGTGGGTCTATCAAGGTCCATACCTTGTTTGAGTACATGGAGTCCATTTCGGACTGCATAGCTTCTTGCCATTTAATCGAGTCAATGTCCAACATTGTCTCTTCATAGCTTATTGGATCATTATCCAAAAGGAGTCCCTCTTCATTGTTCTCTAACAATAGGTCTAGCCTCTCAGGCATCCTAAAAACCTTTACAGATTTTCGAATAGGTTGTGTCTTAGAAAGTCCATTCTCAACTGGCGTGTTATCCGTGACAACTTGTGGAATAATTTGTGGTTCTTCATTAAGTTCTACAATCTCGCCATCCTTATTAGAAAGAAAATATTTTTCTAATAAAACAACATTCCTCGAAACAAACACTTTTTGTTCAGAGGGATCACAGAAATAGTATCTTATAGACTCTCTTAGATAACCCACAAATTTTCATAAGATGGATCTCATATCCAACTTATCTCCCACTTGCTGCTTCACATAAGCAGCACACCCCATACTTTGAGATACTAGTACGAAGGTGTTTTTTCCACACCATATCTCATAAGGTGTGTAGGCACGACTTTACTTGACATCCTATTCAATAGATATGTCGTCGTTTCTAAGGCGTAGCCCTAGAATGAAAGAGGTAAAGTAGTGGAACTCATCATTGATCGAATCATGTCTAACAAGATACGAATCCTCCTTTCTGAAACTCCATTAAGATGTGGAGTACCAGGAGAAATCCACTTTGAGAGAATTCCATTCTCCTTTAGATAATCAAGAAACTCAGTAGTCAAATATTCACCTCTTTGATCTGATCGAAGATTTTTAATATTACCACCAATTTGTTTCTCCACTTCACATCTAAATTCTTTTGACTTTTCAAAGTTTTATATTTATACCTTAAAAGGTATACATAACCATACCTCGAAAAATCATTAGTAAAGGTTATGTAGTAGTGATAGTTCCCTCTTGCACTAACATTTAGTGGTCCACAAACATCTGTATGAATCATATTCAACAGACTTTAAGCTTGCTCCATTTGTCCAACAAATGGTGATTTTGTTATTTTTCTTTTAAGACGTTATTCACATGTAGGCAACTTATCCTCTCCCCTAAGGTTGAGTTTTAGTCCCAATTTATGAATCCTCTTGTCAGATATATGTCTCAATCAAGCATGCCAAAGTGTAAACGAACTATGATTATCTATCTTTCTTTTATTTTTTTGAATAGTTAGGATGGGACTTTGTGGTGTAACAGTGTATAAACTATTTGTCAAAATACCGAAATATATAATATCTGTATATTTGAAAATGGAACAACTTCCACTCTCATTAACAAACTTACACCATTATTTAAAGCTAGATAAACAGTCCCCATAGCAAATGCAACAACTCTTGTTCCATTGCCCATCCTAAAGACTATTTCCTTATTGTCCAACTTTCTACTTCTTGCCATCATTTGTAAATCATTGCAAATATGTGAGCCAGAGCCGGTATCTAATACCCAAGAAGCATCATTAACTTATAAGTTAATTTCAACAAAATAAACACCTGAACATTTCAGGTTTGCAAGATATTCTTGCAATTCCTCTTCCAGTGCCTTAATTTGTCACAATGGAAACACTCGTTATTGGTCAATTTGTTTTGCTCAAGAATACATGCAATTGGATTTTTAGCTATTTTAGTAGAATGATCTACCAAAATAAACGAAGCAGAAAATAAGTAGACTATGGAAAATATATTCATTTAATATAAGGTCTTTGATATTAAATGTTTCCCTTTATTTAAAATTAAACCCCATAAAATTTTGAAAATCAAATTTTCATAGAGGGCTTGAAGCCCAATAAAAATATTCCATATCCCAATTTTATGAGTACGCACGAAATATTTATATTGGTAGTCAACATTTTTGACAATTGTATCACTATACAACCTTCAAGTTTATTTTGCCTCACTTTTCTTATATACCCAATTTTATGACCGTATATAGTACTAAGTGTCAAATTAAACCCATCAAACATTCATGATAATGACCCATCATAAGTGTTCCACGACTCGTGGCCAACACAAAGACGAATCTATCTCACGAGCATCTCAATGCTTAGTAGAGATCATAGCTTTCGCCACAAAGCCACCCCACGACTCATGGTCAGTGATTAAGCACCGTAGCATCGTCATGTCATCTACTTTTGATGGAAGGCATGGATTAATAGGTCCAACCCATTTTTATCCATTATAATTTGATATGGAATTAATCGAATTAAATTCCTTAATAGTTTCAAAAACTTAGGGTTTACTTTCAAGACCTCATCAATTTAAATTACTAAGTGGGTTTATTTAATGCAACATTCATCATATGAAACGCAAGCAACAAGCATTAAATAAATCTAATATGCATCTAATGCAGAAAGCGATGGGATGATCACGACCATGCCTATGCGACCCATTCGAGCCAAAATGGGTATATGCCTATATACGAGATAAAATAAATAGAACTACTTCTATTACATTTTATTTTATCAACCCGTACAAGCACAGACCTTCAAAATTTACAATTTGTAAATTTACCAACACAACTGTGGGCCTTTTTCATCAAACGGCCTCTAATCAGAATTAAAAAATCTCACGATCTAATCTATTCTCGATGCAATAATTTAAATTTATACAAATAATTGAATAAGAGACTCACAGGTCTCGATAAATTACAAACATTCAATCATATTGAATAAAAGGCTCATGATCATCCCTAAATAAGCCATTCATCACATGAATTCAACCATATAAATTCACCAATTTAATATGTTGATATAGTAATGAATCATACAAATCTATCAAATTTTGTATGTTGATTTAATTTTGGGATTAATAAATATTAACTATTCACAATAGTTAATATAATTAATTTAGATTTAACTTTTAAATCTAAACTTAGATAATATATATATATATATATATATATATATATAGGGGACGGATCCAATGGGTCCACCTCTTAAAATGTGGACGTGAGACCCAATCTCAACCGTTGAATCTGCCTTTTAAATCTACGGTCAGCATCAGGTATATATAATTATAAACCTTCAGCTCGCGCGCACACAAAATCGAAAATAATATCTCAGATTTCCTCCTCAATCACGATTCTCTGCGATTTCTTTCTCAATCTCGATTTCCTTATCAATTTGAAGTTCGATTTCATCGTCTGATTAGGTTTAACTCTTGTTTTCTATAGGCAAACTCAACTGCTCGTAAAAAATATCCAGGGAAAAAAAAGTCGATTTCATCAAATTTATCTACAAATGTCGACGGGAGCAGCTTCAATGGAGATCGAAGCAACTCCAGTTGCGCCATTAATGGAAGAAGGTATACTGACTTTAAATAAAATAGTTGCTGATGAATTCACCATGAATGAAAATCGAGTTATTCAATTAGAATCAATCACGTAATATTGAAAAAATCGTTCGTGCTTATCTGCAATTTTGATTTTTGTAGAATCTCTGTTTTCTGGCAAGAATATTATATAATGTTGATGCAGTTGTTCAAATTGCAGATAATGTTGAATAAATTGTCCATGTTATTCTGGAATTTTGATTCATGATATAACTAACACCTAGCAGCACTAGATCACTAACCTAGCAGCAGTAGACAACTAACCTAGCAGAACAGAGTTCTAACCTAGCAAACACATAAAACGAACCTAGCAGCATGAGAGAAGTAACCTAGCAACTACATACAACTAACCTAGCAACATCAGAGAACTATCCTAGCAAATAAATATAACTAACTTAGCAACTACAGACAATTGACCTAGCTGAGAGAAAGTAACCTAGCAGCATGAGAGAAGTAACCTAGCAGCATGAGACAACTAACCTAGCAGCAAAACACAACTAACTTAGCAGCATCAGACCTCTCAAATGCTCTCACATCTCTCTAAGTTTCTCTCTCTACAATTTTCATCCACCACTTCCGACCACAACCGCCCCACCTTCGACCCCGCAGCCACTACCACCGCATCTCTACCACCTCCGGCCGCCGCCGCCGGCGGCCACCTGGCCTTCGGGCCACCCTCCTTTCTTTCTTTTTGAACCGTTAGCTATGGCCCCTTCTCCCCCCCCATTTCCGTCAAACTCAGTTCAGCTCCCCCAAGCTCCGGTTATCCCCTCAACAGATTTTCTTAGCCTACTAAAACTCCCAGAATTCCAAAATATAGTTGCGAATTTCCTGGGTAGACATTCGAGTTTTGAAGAAGGGGATTCTAATCCCTCCATCGGCATAATTTCCGAGTCGCGACCGGTTGACAACAAATCTGTTTCCGCAGCTCAAAAGACGACCAGACCCGTCGACATCAATTCCGATTCGCGACCGGTCGTTGGGATTTGGGCGCCGGAAAAGATAACATCTGCAGCAAAAAATGGTTTGGAAGAAGGGGAATTCACTCCTTCGGCTGGAGGTTCGCCGTGCGACATCATCACCGGATTTTCAGATATCGGTTTCGTAACTTTGCGGTCGGAACTTTCGCCTTCAAATTTGCCATCAGTCAGTCATAACAACACCTTGAGAAGCGGCGACACACAGGAAGTAAACCCTCAGCTCCTCATTGAAGGGGACAAAAGCAAATCCCTACACGTGGACATTCAACCTTCCATTGGGCCAGCAAACCACAATTCTTTTGGGCCCAATCCACAGGTAACAATTCCAACTCTTACTAAACCTCATCAAACGGGCCCATTAACCCTTTCTTCCTCAATTGTCCCAACTCCCTTGTCCCAAAATCAAAAGCCCACGACATCACCCTCCTCTCAACCAAATCAAATCGGGCCTACCTCTCAGGCCATCATTTTCGGACCCGCTCCCAAGACAAAAATTACCAAACCCATCACCATTCCCTCGCAACCCACTGAGCCCGCCAATACAGCCCGTGAACCCGACACCATACAGCCTAACCCCCAAACGGACACCCGCCAATTCCGACCAGCAGGCGCCGCCATCCTAACCGGAGCCGTTGCCGACAACCAACCACCGGTCACCTTTCCCGCCGGCGTCGATGCCCGAGCCCTCCCGACCACCGGAAACCCATTTCCGGCCTCCAGCCATGTTGGAAAAGACCCAAAGGCGGACCTTGCAGCCGACATTCTCGGGCCGCGGCCAAATTTTCCTTCTCCGACCGGGGTGAACGTTGCCCCCCCCTCCATCGAGACATCGCTGAAGGGCACATCAACAGTTAATCCCGCCGCAGTCGGGCCTCCTTCGGCCTTACCTACCGGCCCGATTTCATTTCGCGAGGCCATTACGGGTAAAAGAGATGACGGTTCGAGCAACCCGCGACCAACACCTCAGGTGACCGAACACCCCCCGCTCGGTACTCCGCCGACAAACACCTCAACGCCTATCCCCGCCGCAGCCGGGTGTCCCCCGGGCACATCCACTGGCCCACTCTCTTTCCGTGAGGCTATTACGGGGAAGAGAGATGACGTTTCGGGTGCCAAGATTCCACCGCGACCGACACCCAAGGAATTCCTCTTTGACGGGGATTACGACCAGGCTTGCGGGACCATCGTCCGATCGGAGGGGAACAAAGTGAAGGTCCGATTCTCACAGGCCGAAGCTGACACCCTCGCAGGTAAGTTAGCGAACACACTGATATTTAAGTTTACTTATGCTATCCCACCCCCCCGAGACTTAACTGCTGGATTAGGAAAATTGGGATTTAAGGGTAGTTTCTCATTTAAGTGGTATAACTTTAATCATCTTCTAGTCTCTTTTAATCTCCCTGAAGATTATAATGCGGTTTGGCTTAGGTCTTCTATTCTTGTATGCGGATGCCCAGCTAGGGTATTTAAATACACTTCCGGGTTCAACCCGAAGACGGAGACGCCGGTCGTCCCTGTGTGGTGCCGCCTCCCCGGCCTCCCACCACATCTGTATGACAGGGATTCCATCACCACACTAGCTAAGTGTGTTGGAAAACCGGTCCGCATTGATGCCCCGACTGCTCTCCAATCCAGGGCTAATATGGCGTGTTTCTGTGTCGAGATTGATCTCAGAGTGGAGCCTATCCACGAGATTGAGATGGAGCAGGGTTCTGAGACCTTTGCTCAACGGGTGATCTACGAGAAGATCCCTGCTTTCTGTTCCGCGTGCAGTCATGTTGGTCATATAGCGGCCGACTGCTATATCAGTGGCAATAAGCCACGTCCCGCTCAGCCTCCGCGCCGTCGTACGACCCAGCCGGGACCCTCCACCAGCAGGAGGGAACCGAAGGGAAAGGGCATAGGCCCTCTCCAGACACCCGATTCCCCAAAGGGGGCCATGGATAAGGGTAAGGCGAAGATGGACGCCACTGCCCAAACTGGGAAGGATGCTCGTCTCAACCAGTCAGACCGAGTGATCATAGTTGGGCCCAAGGCCAAGGTGACGGGCTTTATTCCCAGAGAGACACTTCAGTCGGCCTTCAAGGCCAAACACTCGTTCTTTGCGCCCCTTTCCCTTGAGTCACAGGATGAGGCTGAACCTTCATCTAGGGACACACACTGTCTTTCGGATCCTGCCCTTTTAGAGGACGACGACCTCCTAGCTGATGAGCTAGAGCAGCCGGCCGCTTTGCCCACTGGCCCGGGCACCCACCTCCCTCATGACAGCATCCGCGATGCTGTCCCTTTGTCTGTCCTCCCACATAGCCAGGATTGCTCCCTGGAGATGAGGACAGCTTCTGCTACTGCTTCCTCGAAAGGGGAATTGCCGTCTCACCTCCCGTCTGCGGAGATTAAGACGTCGACTCATCCTATAGATCCCCAGCCACACTCTGACGGCGAACATCCGGGTGCTCGGTCGGATGGAGTACCTCCCCCCACCCCCCTTTCTGAGCAGGTATGCGGTCTTAACCGCGCCCAGCACGACGTCTCGTGCGAGAGTTTTGCCTCCAGTGCTTTCGTTCATTATGATAGACGGGAGGCACGCCCGGACATGGGGCAGACACCTAGTGTCAGTCTTGGTCACATTGCTCAGCCTGATGACTCGCAGGCCACGAGCGCTTTCCGAGGGCGATCCACCTCCAATACCATTCCCACACCACGCATGACGAGACGGACTGTCTCTCCAATTCTTCGTCGATCATCTCGCCACCTACCCCCTCCCCCAGGTGGTCTGACTCAGCCTCGCCACAGGCGGACACAGTCCGGTGGCCCCTCTGATAGTTGATATGTCTATTACGTCCATTACTTGGAATGGACGGGGACTGGCTAATAGGGCCACTCTCGCTCACCTTCGCTCCCTCATTCATGATCATAGATTGGACTTCGTTGGCTTCATTGAGCCGATGATTCGATCCCCTGACTTTGACTACCTCTCTCGCCGTCTTGGTTTTCAGTCGGCTGTGGGGAACACTTCTCATAAGATCTTTTTCTTCCACTCTCGAGACTATACCTGTCGGGTCCTCCGAGACACCGATCAGGTGCTTCATGTCGAGCTTTCGGCTGCCCATCTCCCTGAGCCCATATTTCACACTTTGGTTTACGCCAAGTGTAATAGAGTTGGGAGATACGAGCTGTGGGACACCCTGCGTGAGATTGCTGAGAGTATGGAGGGATTGCCATGGATGGTGAGTGGCGATTTCAACATCTTTCTGCAACCAGATGAGCGTGTGGGTGGCCGCACGGACAGGTCACGGGAGATGTGGGATTTTGTCCAGACAGTGGCGGACTGTGAGTTGCTAGACGCTGGATACGAGGGTGAACCCTTCACGTGGGTTAGGGACAACCTCAAGGAGAGGCTCGATCGTGCTTTGATTTCTGAAGCGTGGTCGAAGGTGTTTGCGGTCACGACCGTCACACACCTCCCTCGATTTGGGTCGGACCATTCACCCCTTCTCATTAGATGTCGTTTTTCGAGCACTCCCCGCCGCGCTTCCTTTAGGTTCCAAAACATGTGGGTTCGCCACCACTCCTTCCACGACACTGTCAGGGATTCCTGGCTTCAGCCGACTGGGCTCTTCGGGATGCGCAATCTCGAGGCGAAGCTCGGCAAACTGCGGCGTCGGTTGAGACAGTGGAACTGGGATGTTTTTGGAAACCTTCACCACCGCCTTTCTGCGGCTCAGAGTGCGCATGCATCGGCTGAGCGGGCCTATGACCTGGATCCCACTCCGGAGAATAGGACTGCCATGCACCGCTGCCACGCCGAGTATCAGCTCCGTCTCCTTATGGAGGAGGACTTCTGGAAGCAGAAGGCGGCCGTTCGCTGGGTGGCCGAGGGCAAGCGGAATACTAGGTTCTTCCAGGGCTACGTTAGGCAGAAGCGTGCTAAGTCGTACATCCATAGCATCGAGGCGAATGGGTCATCCTTGACCCAGGAGGCTCAGATTCGGGAGTCGGCTGTTGCTCACTTTCAGACCCTCTTCACATCTGACAGAGGGTCCCCCGTGGCCCCGAACGCTTCTTTTTTCCCCACCATCTCTCCTTCGGTCGATCTCATTGGCCTCTGTGAGCTCCCGAGCAGGGAGGAGGTTAGGGATGCTGTATTCGGGATTGATCCCAACAGCTTTTCTGGCCCGGATGGTTTTTCCTCCTTATTCTATCAGGTCTGCTGGGATATTGTCGAGACTGACGTCCAGGAGGCGATGTTGGACTTTTTCTCCGGCCACCGGATGCCGGATTCCTTCACGTCTACCTCTGTCGTCTTGATCCCCAAACGACCCAACCCGAGCTCTTGGTCCGATTACAGGCCCATCAGCCTGTGTAACGTGACCAACAAGCTCATATCGAAGATTCTTAACGGCCGTCTTTCCCCTCTCCTCCCCTCTCTCATCTCTCCGAACAAGAGTGGATTCGTCAAGGATCGAGTCATTAGTGATAATATCCTTTTGGCCCAGGAGATGATCCACGACATCTCCCGAGCGGACTGGAAGCGGGCTCCGAATATCGCGCTGAAGCTGGACATGGCTAAAGCGTATGATAGGGTTGAGTGGCCGTTTCTTAGGGAGGCGTTGGCTAGGATGGGATTCCCTGAGCGTTGGACCAGTTTTGTGGAGGCGTGTGTGGAGCATTGCACGTTCTCGGTCCTGATTAATGGCAGCCCCACCGATTTCTTCCCCTCCTCTAGAGGCCTTAGACAGGGCGACCCTCTTTCCCCCTCCCTCTTCGTTCTTGCGGCGGACTACCTCTCTCGCTGCCTAGACGGCTTTATCCGCGATTACCCTCAGATGACATATAGCACCCGTGGCTATGGTCCCCCCGTCTCGCACCTATCTTATGCGGATGACATCATCATCTTCACTCGTGCGGATGGTGATGGGCTGATCGAGCTTATGCACCTTCTGGAGCATTATAGCTTGGTTACTGGTCAGCTGATCAGTGTGCAGAAGAGCACCTTTACCCTTTCCACCTCCAGCGCGGACAGGTGGGCTCAGCGAGTCCACGAGATCACTGGCTTTGCGCACGGTGACCTTCCCATTACCTACCTTGGTGCCCCACTTTATAAGGGCAACCTCACTAGAGCGCTCTTTGCGGGTATCAGGCAGAGGATGATAGATAGGATTTCTGGATGGTCGCATAGACATCTTTCCTTCGGTGGTCGGCTTGCTCTGATCAAGAGCACCCTTACCTCCCTTCCGATTCATTTACTTA